GAGGGAGGGAGGAGGGAGGGAGGGAGGAGGGGGGTTACAAAGGAAAGAAAGAATAATGTGCACATCTTACCCCGGACACTTGCTCTGCAGGTCATAAATCTCCTCTACCTGAACCCCCTTTACACCTGAGAGAGAGACAGACCGAGTCAGACACACACAGGTATTGCTCTGTGAGGAACATTCCCTTTAGATACACATTACCGAGAATGTAGATACATGACTTCCACGCCAAAAATTACAGAAAAACACATATGAGGATTTCCACTCCAGTAGTTTGTGTCTCTGCCCCTCCCACAATGGTGAGATTTCCTCCAGTAGTTTGTGTCTCTGCCCCTCCCACAATGGTGAGATTTCCTCCAGTAGTTTGTGTCTCTGCCCCTCCCACAATGGTGAGGAATTCTTATGGGAAGATCTCACTACTGGGGCCCCTGAGAGATGCATAGAACCAGCACGGGATCCAATGGCTCAGCTGATACTACCAACAAGGTGAAGTTCTACTTACCGAAATCCTCCACCAGCAGTGTGAAGAGCCCTGCACAGCAAACACAGAAAATAAAACCGTGAGAGTCATGTAGCGTTTATGGCTGACATAAGGAGAGACAGAAAGATGTCCATTGTTTGCACACTTGCTCTACACCCTGCCTCAGTACTCCTCTCAAGAGCCCTCTGTCCTGATACAAGCAGTGGGCGGGCTCTTGGGAGGAGTTATGCAAATATAAAACTGCTTTCATGGGTGGGTGTCAGTCTGGAGGAGGGGATGTTCCTAGTCAGGTTTGAACTGCATGCAAACTGTCCTAGGTAACGCCCACATGTGATGCTGAGCCCCCATGATTGACAGGACTGAAATCCAATGAATGAAAGGGGCGGGGCCAGGGTGCAGTATTTACATCAATAGCTTAGTTACACACAAACCCACCTCTCATGTAAACAATGGTGGGGGAGAAAGAATTAATCACCCCAGGGTGCTCCATGGGGTGGGGTTATCTTTTCCAAGTCATCAGCACTGCAAAAAGGGCACCTGCGGATCTGCCCCAGGAGGGGTAATTACCCCCTATGCTTGCCCCTAGTGCTTAGCCACACACAGTATACTCTCCCATATGAAGGAAAGAAGGGGGAGGCTGCAGATTGCCCTCTGGAGGGGTATCCTTCTCATGTCATCAGCAGTATATACAGAAGTGACCCTGGATTTGCCCCTGGGTAGGGGATCTTTCATAACTTATCAGCAATGCCCATAAGGCACTCCTAGGGTGGGGTAACTCCCCCCAGTCACCCCAATGACTGCCCCTGGGTGGGGTATGTATCCCCACTGCACACAGAATATGGAGTCAATGGGAGGGGGGTACAGTGCAGCCCCTTGGTGAAGTATTTTTCCCATGTCTGCCCCTAGGCGGGGTATTTGCCTCCCCAGGGTATGGGGGCACAGTGGCAGTGTGTGGGGGGAAGGGGGCAGTTATTGTACCTGGGTCGCTCTCCAGCTCTAGCCAGCCTTTATTCATGTTGTCTCATCCATGCCTCCGGGCCCCTGACATCATCACAGCGCGCCGGAAACAACAACCGCTACAAATGGGACAAGACAATAGTCTGGCCCCTCCTGTTTCCGTACGGCGGACATTTTGCCTGAGACAATTCTCATCACCGCAATGACCATCGGGCTTCAGAAAAATGGCCGCCTCGTTGCTCTATAGACTCATCGGTGAAAAAATAAAAAAAGTCATTGTCCCACAGAGATCACATGGCGCCATCTTTACTGTGGGCAAACTGTTATTATCATTAGAGAAGAATTAAAGTAGAAATTAAATATGTAGAGCAATAAAGCAACTCTGAAACAGGGAGAGGAGTATCAAAACTGGAGTTTCAGTGGAGCTCCTACAATCAAATCTTGTTCCTTATTTTGTTTGGATTCTTGCTTCAAATTTCTTAAATTATACTCTGGGGAAGGGGCTGTTAAAATAATTGAAAAACCTGCAATTTCTACTTTGTTTTAGATTGTTTTGTTCTTTGTATATTTTTCTTTCAAAGAGCATATTACTGGTATAAACACAGTCACGAGAAAAGGTCTCAACCAGACAGACTAGTATCTGCGTTATGACTCCCAGCTAGGCAGACAGGGGCAACCAAAATTAAGATAGGGGCTACTGGCCCCCCCACTGTCTCGACTGTGATGCTTACATGTAAATGGGAGGCACTATTTACATATAAATAAGCCATGACTTGTTCTCCCCAAAAAATTTCCATGCGTCGCTAGCGTGTTCGGGTTTTGATGGAAGAAAAGGTGGCAACCCTAACTCCCAGTACCCAATGGAAGTTTATCGGGGCCATTAGAACGCTGCAACTCAGGCCTGTGATGGAAACAACAAACACCCGAGGTGGTTCAGGAAGGAATGTCTGGCGGTGTGGATGTAGTCGGAACCCTTGTACCAAATTTATGAAACACGTGCTGCACTTTCATCGTTAGCGCCGACACATGCGACAAATTCAGGCATTTCCTTTGTTATGAGATGGTTGCTATGGCTGTAACACATTCACAAAGTAATGCCGCAATATTGGTGATAAGGAGAGTGGAGGTAAATAAGACCTCCCCTATTCTGAATTCAATGTTTGGGGGTTATTTTTACTGACCACCAATGCTCGGGGGAAGGAGGGGTATTTTTACAGCCAGCCAGTGACCACCATTGCTATTGGTGGGGGATTTATACTGCCAG